GTCAGCTACGTGCCCAACTTTGGTGTTAGCCTCCTGATGACATAAGTCAAAATGTCCTTCTTCCCTCATTCGACATTTTCCAAAGCGTCTATCTACAAGGGTCTAGCAACTCTGTGAGGACACAGAGGAGCTGACCTGGGCTTTGCCTTCAGGCAGTTCATAGTCCAGTGAAGGACAGTCTCACCAACAAATGAGACAACATGCCCAAGGGCACTCAGGAAATGGAGATAGGGTTGCCTGCTGGGGAATGGAAAGCCTTCAGCAGGAATTCTTTAAGGACAGCAAAGTGGCTCCTGGGCAGTGGTGTGGGGGTTGAGAAAGCCCAGGCTTCACAGAGTTCCCAGCTCTGCTGAGCGCTACTTCCTGGCTAAGGAAGCCAGAGAAGGCAGATGAACTCTCCCGGCCTCAGTGTCCTTATCTGAGGAATGTCCCCCCTCCGATTACTGGGCTGCTGGAATGAGGTGACATGAGGAAGCAGAGTGCCGGGGACGCAGTGGATGTGCCCTTCGAGTTGGTTTCTCTTTCCCTTTTGATTTCCGTGGGCAACCATGCAAACTAGCAGAAATACACGCTCCAGGGGCATCATAACCGCGAGAACTGCCGAAACAGCAGCAATAAACCCACACGTGGCCAGTATCGTTTATTTTTATACAATAATCACTATCCTGAATGCTACTTATTATACAGATCCATCTTTCCTTCTCATCCCAAACTTACCATAAACACATATAGGAAAACACTCTTCAGAGAACAGAGATTTATCATTTAGGGGCTTTGTCCAAAAAAAACCCAAAAAACCCAAAAAACACCCAACCCCTTCAATAAGTATGCAAGATTTCAGTAAAGACTCTGGTTCACTAACAGTTTTGATGAAGCACATAATATACACATTTCCAAAGATTAGCATATATACATCGTTATGACTACAGCCATTATTCAGCAGGGTCGGTGAACGTTAGCTCAAGAAAGTCCTTTAATTTCTGTGTGAACGTTTCCTCACCAACTATTCTTTCTGAATACCTTTCTTTAAAAAAAAATTTTTTTTTAATATGTATTTATTTTTGAGACAGAGAGAGATGGAGTGAGATTGGGGGAGGGGCGGAGAGTGAGGGGCACAGAATCTGAAACAGGCTCCAGGCTCTGAGCTGTCAGCACAGAGCCAGATGCGGGGCTCAAGCCCAGGAACCGTGAGGTCATGGCCTGAGCCAAAGTCAGATGCTTAACCGAATGAGTCACCCAGGTGCCCCCTCTCTGAATATCTTAGAGAGTCTTCCAGTGATGCTGGCGGGAGAGTTTCCCTGTTAGGGATCCAGTGTCTTCATAATTCAACTACTCGTCCTGAGCCTCAGCCTTCGCGATCAAACCCCACCCCCCTACATACTTCTACTCCACTGCTCAAACTGCTTCACTTTTCTGCAAACACTCCTTGCCCTCCCTTACTGCCATTTTTTGCCTCCTATGCCATTCGTCTTGCCTAAAATACCTTACCTTCTGACCTTCAGCCAATGAAATCCTAGTCCACTTTCTAAACCCACCTCACATCTGGCCTCCACAGAGCTGACCCGGACCATTACCTCCCACCCTCTCGTGACCTCACTGTCCTGACAACATGGCACCCACTGGTGCACTGCTGGTGGGCTGTTACTTTTTTTTTTTTTTTACTTTGTTACTTATTTCCTAACTTCACTCTTCATTTTTCCCCAAATGAATAAACTTTTTGAGACTAGGAGCCACATGTTAGAATTGAGCATCCCCTTTCACACATTATCGATATTTAACCGATAGAATACATGAGGTCGGTAGAATACATGAGGCATTGTAATGGAAAACTTCAAAGCCCTACTTCAGCACGAATAGCAGTTTGCACAGTATGACTGACTTCTGACATTAAAACAGATGACATTTCTGAAAACTCAAGATGAATTAAATTATCAGCATAACGTTTCCCCCTGCAGAAGGAAATTCCACTGTGACAAATATTTTGAAAGCAACAGAATTATACAAATAAACTACCTCGGAACTTAAGCAGGTACTTATTACTGCCAGCCATATTAAATAATGTTTGTACTCTAGTCAACAACTTATTTCACAAATTTTTCATCGAGTCCCTAATTTGTACAAGGAACCATACTAAGATCCGCTGGGGAAAGGCCAAGTCCTCAACACTCAACACTTTAACAGAGAAGACAGACTTGAAAACGTTTTACACAACAAGTTAAATGAGCACTCCAATATAGCTAACCTACTGAGTAATGTGTGCGATGGATTAATTTCACTTGGGAGGGCTTAGGAACCATCCTTCAAAATAAAACAAAACCGCAAAAGAGGAGACGATGACACTGGAACGAGGCACCGAGACATAACTGGGACTCTAGACCAAGATGGCAGAAGCGGGGTCCGGGTTATAAGATTAGCAAGAGCAAGACGTATAGACATGAAAACACATCCTCAACCATTTGTGCTTCTCTCAGTAGGCGATGTAACCTGCCACATCATGAGAAATCGAAATGACCCTTCCTCTCCTATACCTCACAACTGTGTCTGCCTTCCGCTCTGTCTCAACAGCTTCCCCACTCTTCACCAAAGCTAAATCCTCCGAGTCGTTCAGCACCCCCCCCCCCCCCCCCCCCCCCCCCCCCCCCCCCCCCCCCGCTGCCGTCTAATCCCCCCCCTTGTTGCAGCTCAACCTCCCTTTGTGGACAAGTTTTTGAAAGAAAGGTCTCTGTTTTCTCTCTACTTTACTTGTAATTCACTCAGTTCCATAAGATTACCTGCCTCTTGAATCTTTTTTACCCAATAAAATCAAGAGAAACAAGGATGTGCTTTCTGATTTCCTCCTTTGTTTTAAAGTAAGTTAACCAAAAAATAAATAAATAAATAAATCAACCAGTATTTCTTTTTAAAATTTATTTGCTATATTCAGGAAACAGAGACTGTATAGCCTCTGCATAGGATTTCCCATGTCTGGAAAGCAATTATTGCGCAGCTGAGACTCCACGTCAGTATTTTCAGTGAAGAAGCTGTTGTCATGACCTTAAACAATCCCTTCTCTCCACGGGCCTTTCCCTAACTCAGCTCTTCACGGTTCTACAGAGGAGAATGGGTAAGGCAGATACCTCCTCTTCAGCAACATAAAACAGGCACTTTTAAGGAAATGATGTCATACTAGCTGGGTCCTCCATCTTTTCTAGAAGATCAGGGTACGGTAAGGTCTGGTTATCTCCACGCTGTACTGACACACCTACAGAAGCAGCCAAGTCTGGCCCCTGATTTACGGTCTGCTTCTCTGACAGTTTCATTTACTAAAAGAGTAATGGCCGAGGTGGTCTCCCCGCTTATATACGATAAATAGCCAGAACTCTCCATTACTTACTTTGCTCACCTTTCTTGCCTTCAAAGCCAAATTTATTGGCACACATTAGCCACCTACACTGATTTCAAAAAACGCAAAGATGCACTCATATGTTATATACACGTCAGTCTTCATGGACAGGGAGTGGTACATATACTATTCCATGAACTGTTGGACAGTATATAGATCTTAGCTCATCTTTTCAGATTGCCTTTGCAGTGAACACTTCAGTTCACTGTACAATCCAGTAACCCCCCCCTTCTCTTTTAAAAATAAATGTATCCCCCACATACCCCACTTTTTAAAAATAACTCTCCTTAAAGCAGACAAAGATCCATAGCATGCACTTCTCTTCCGCACTCCTACAGAAGAGAGTTTACAGACCTACCAAATGCATCAGATACTATAGAAATTCCATAAAATATTTGTCAATGGGCAGCTTTATATTTAACAATATTGTTACAATTTCCATAAATGTCACCAAACAAATGTTTTGACGAAAGACCAAATGGAAAATTTCAGGCCCACCTCTTTAGACCCCTTGTAAGAATCAGGTTAAGATTACAGATGGAAACCCACATTCCATATGTCTAAATATTTAAAAGTTTGATATCAAGTTAAACTATTAAATAAAATATGGTCTCTTCCTCCAATCTTGACAAATATACTTTCAACCACCTGGAGGAACAGGAACGAATTCAGAATTTTTAGACTCCTTGAAGTTTTACAATCTAGTACAAGCTCTAAGCTGTCTGGGGTCAGGAAAACTCCAGTCGGGTACTCAGAACATGGGGGTGGGTGAAGTGAGGGCATCAGCCAGGCACACCCCCTTGACCCCTCAGGTCCTTCATTCTGTGGGGAAGTATGGCCAGAACAGGCTCCTCTAATTCACAGGTCCTAAAGCAGGGCCTCTCTTGCTGGGACTGAAGGAAATGGCAGGTAATTTACCAAACTGGAGAATTTACCAGATCAATCTTGTTCCACTTAGTTAATACACTAGCTGAAACTAAACCTATAAAAAGATGATAAAGGAAGTAGGAAAACCTGAAATTCCAACCCTAATCACTTCAGTTCCCTCAAGATCTATAATAAAAGAGTCTAATATTTATCTGAATCTACCCTACAGCCTAACGTAGCTTCTGTGCCTTCTTTACAAATTTATACAGTTGACAGGACTCCACTCACAAGCTAGAGGGAGTTAAGACAAGAGGGCGCAGAAGAAGAGAGAAAGGAGAAAAAACATCAGGTATCAAAGATCAGACATGCAGGTCTAAGAAGACACTTCCCTTGTGCTGTCGCTTGTCTGAGGAAGCATAGGACCCCGTGAGTAACCATCTGACCAAAGCCACTTGCTGTCACTACCACACAGATTCCTGTAGTTCGCTCAGTGGCCTCATAAAGCTCCTACTGTAGCCACTGTGTCCACGGGAAGGCAAGCCGAACCTTGTCAACACTCCAACTGAGACTCCTACCAACTCCCCCTACACCGCGCCGTACTCTGCTGTGCTGCAGTCTCCGCTTCACTTTGCCAGAACGTTAATTCGTTAGTTTGAAAACAACTAATAAATAACTCTCATTGCAATACATACATACGTACTCCACAGGAAGGGAAGTATTTCAATGGGAAATCTTATTTATGTGTACTTACTGAGATTGTACCATTGTCTAGCCCTATGGACAGTCTTCTTGTTTCCGGGTTAAAAGACATGCATGAACATGGAGCTGAAAGAAATGAACATGTTGATGAAATTAACAAAATGATGATTCTCATCGATTCAGGAGTGACTGACTAGCTAAAAGCGTGTGGCTATTTTTTCCCCACTATTTTCTGAAAAACAGTTCATTGAACGCCCACTCACCAAAATATAAAAACAGTAATTTTACAACCAACCCCTAGTTTTTTCAGTTATCCTTTTAATGACTATAACGAGTAAGATGTCCTCAACTGGACTAGTTCCAAGGGGCTTAGTCTCAGTTGTTCTGTCAGTATCGAGTCTAAATCTGCTTGACTAGGTTACCAATATTTTGTACTATGTACTCCCCCGTTACCGATCTATCTCTTGCACTCACAACCTATCTTTAATAGAAACAACCTATCTTGTCTCAACTAGGGGGAAAAACAAGAGATCTAGTAATTCCCTCCTCCCTCCATACACACCCACTAGTATAGAAATCTATATTTTGATTCAGAATTGATTCAGGGCATGTGGACTAACAGAAGTTTTTTACTCTCGGTACTCAAGGCCACTAACTGAAAAAGACTGAGGATCTGTCTCAATTTAAGAGAGAATCAACTGGACACGGGGCCAGGCTCTATAGGAAAGTAATCAGGTCTGGACAGGGCCCTGTTCTGCAAAATTGACTACTATATTTGACTACTATATTGACTACCTGAGTATTCCTGAGCCCAAGTAAACTAAGCGTACTTGGAAGGCAATGTGGCCAAGTAGCGCTTGCTCAACAGTCAGCTTCCAGGCCCCTGCCTTCTCCAGCTACACCAGCTCATAAGAATGGGTCCTGTTGACAACCTAGCCTACACTGAAACTGCTGTTCTAAAAAGGAGTCCACCATCTTTTTTAAATTTCTCCCTCACCTTCACAGTGGCCCTGCTCATCATCATAATCATATTCAGTCTCAAATATTTTTATTCCTACTTTTTACAGTTATGGTTAGATGTATTACTCAAGGTCACACAGGAAAAAAAAAGTTGGAGAAGGTCAAAGACATAATTCAAATACACAGTCCTATTTTGAAATACCCAACTTAGATGATCTCTAAACTAAATTCTAAAAGAATCTCAAGTTCCATGAACAGAGCCATTTCATAAATGCAGCACTTAGTAACATTTTTTTCGTTCTCTATAAAAGGGCCCTGAACAACAAAAGAGATCTTCCAAACTACATCAAGTACTTATTTTCTAGTTTTTAATGATATATTCAGAAAACAGAAACACAAAAAATAATCCCCACACACACAACCTCCACCAGTACAGCAGAGGATCTTCTCTCTGATTAGCCACAAAATTAAACTAGACTCCCACAAAAGTACACTGCTGAAAAAAGTAGTCAAATGATATTTAATGTGCTGCCCTAGGAAAGTCAATCTTACTTGCCCATGACCTGTGAAGTGTGTTAACACAATTTCTAGACAGGTGCTAACATGCCAGGTCTCACAGCCTGTAACATGCATGCAGAATTAAAATCTAATGATTTCAGGGAAAATCAGTTAGCTGAAAAGAATAAAAAAAAAAGGTATGTTGTGACTACAACTACATAAACTACACAGACAACTAAATATGTACGGGGAAAAATGAAAGTTTTTGTGTTTGTGTGACAAGTTCATTTAAAAATTTTTTTTAATGTTGGGGCGCCTGGGTGGCTCAGTCGGTTAAACGTCCAACTTTCGCTTAGGTCATGATCTCGCGGTTCGTGGGTTCGGGCCCCGCATCGGGCTCTGTGCTGACAGCCAGCTCAGAGCCTGGAGCCTGTTTCAGTCTGTGACTCCCTCTCTCTCTGACCCTCCCCTGCTCACACTGTCTCTCTCTCTCTCCTAGAAATAAATAAAAACAATAAAAATTTAAAAAAAAAAAAAATTTTAATGTTTATTTATTTTTAAGAGAGAGAGAGAGAGAGAGAGAGAGAGAAGAGGATGAGCAGGGGAGGGGCAGAGAGAAAAGGAGACACAGAATCTGAAGCAGGCTCCAGGCTCTGAGCTGTCAGCACAGACCCCAATGTGGGGCTCAAACTCATGAATGGTGAGATCATGACCTGAGCCAAAGTTGGACGCTTAACCAACTGTCTGAGCCACCCAGGTGCCCCTAAGTTCATTTCTATAATGTTGTCTTTAATCTTATAATTTTGCTATTCCTCTTAAAAGTTTCAAATACCTAATGGCTTATTAAGATATGAGCATGAGCATATGAAGTAAAACTTAATTGCAGCCCAAAGACCTATAAACTCATCAAGAATAACCTTATCACTTAGCTGCCTGCCTGACCATATAAAAGTCTTTTCTGTATGATTTCCTCCAAAGTTCGTATCTGGTTATATAATAGTGAGAAAACCCACGGATCTCTGAATGTGACTTAAAAGACCTTTTAACAGCACAGCATAGGCTACCCTGACATCTACATTGCTATTTCTTTACTCCTGGATTTCTTATCCCCTTTACCAAATAATTTGTTATTCTTTTTTTTTTTTTTTAATATTTATTTTTGAGGGAGAGAGTGCAAGCAGGGGAGATCATGACCTGAGCCGAGATCAAGAGTTGGATGCTTAACCGACTGAGTCACCCAGGCGCCCCTTGTTACTCTTTTAATGAAAATTTAGAATGCTTACTATGTCCCAGGCATGTGATACGATGATATATAAGGTATCATAGCTGTCGTCGAGGAATTTACAGACTCTGACACCAACCATGTACAGGAACTGTAAGACCCATCCAATGTCAGCACTACAGTCCAAGTCACTTCATGTTCACAGCAAGAAGCAGGAAGAATTCAAAAGGAAAATACCTTTCCCATAAAGTCCCATACACAAAATACATTTAGAAATCCTGTTGTTCTAGAACCCATATGCTTGAACCCAAGATGGTTCTAGATGGCAGAACGCCAGAGCTAAAGGGTGCTCTGGATGCCCCCAAAGACAAACCCACTTCTTCAAGGGGGCATTACTGGTAAAACACCAAGCAAATCTGTGGGAAGGGAAGGGGGGTGTTTAGGGAAAGACTTTTGGTAGGTGAACCTCAGAATGCTCCTCACACCATTTCCCAACTGTGACATGCTCACAGCAAAAGGCCCTGGGTTGATTACCCATAGGCCCTGGCAGGCCAACGAGGCAGGAAGTGAACTGAAAAGAATACTGATGCCTATATTTGCTGTGACAATAAATGTATTTCCTTTGGGGAAACAGGGGAGTACACAGAGGACACACATATCCTTCTAACTTCAACTCACCGGAGATTAACAAACAAGCAACCTCTGAAAGACTAGTGTTATGACCCATACAAAATGGGCTCTTATCCATGCAAGAAAATATCAAAGGGGAAAAACTGTCTGGGGAAGGAAAGTAGGATACAGTAAGTTCTGGCTAAATAGTAAAAAGGAATCCCTCCGCAGGAAGGGTTAGGAAGAAACAAATAAAATATGATTTAAGCAGAATATTTGTAGCTAGGTTGCAAAAATGTGTTTCACAAATAAGAATTCAGCTTTAAGTGATGTAAAACTAATAAGTCATAAGTCAATAAAGAAATCTGATGGTTGAAATCTATCTGATGGTTGAAAGCTGAGGTCAGAGACGAAATGGCCGAGATATTTCCATTCTCCCACCTTGCAATGGCTTTCTCCAAAGGCTCAGTGAAATGTCTGACCAGACCCATAAAATTAAAATACAGCGCCCCCCCACTGACCTTCTCCATCAAAACTGCATCCTCGAACTCTAGACGAAATAAACACACCATGATACAAAACATGAAGATATATTTACCTCCTCCACCTTTAAGTGTTTCCCCATGAGAAAGGATAACCACACTTGGTAATAAACTTTGTAGGGTGGCCTGCATTTGCCAACGTCTGCCATATACACCATCCATATGGGATCTGCCAGGGACTGCTCCTACATACGCCCAGTAACTGAAAACCAAGCCCTTGTCCCTGGTCTTGTTGATGTTCAATCATTAGCCTCCTATTTCCCCCCCCCACTCACATTTCTATTAAGATCTAAGGAAAAAATACCCACTGTTTACTTCTCAATAAAACAGCACAAGAATTCATTTCCATGTTGTCAGATTTAAGACTTACCATCCCTCTTCTCTGTTTTGGACAGAGAACAGCCAAAAGAAGTGTATCTGGCAAAATTTTAGGAAGCAGGGTAATACAAGCTACAAAGAAGATGGAAAATAAATTTGTGCAGGCCTATGAGTACTGAAAAATAACAATCTCTTATGTGAGTATCAGGACTGTAGACTTTGATGGCTTGTTAATACCTTATTTTAAAAATTAAACACTTTCACAGTATCGAGCCTTTTGAAAATGAAATCTTTGTAATTTCAGGCAGGTAGTCAGCTTAAGGTTTAGGGAAAACTAAAAGAAAGAGAAGCCTCAGTCTGGGTGATTATATTAATGACCATATAATGTGAAGGAGGAAAAAGCTCAAGAGACCTGAACCCTAGACAAAGGGAACTCAAGAATCCCACATCAACCTCAACAGAGTCAGTAATTAAGTGGATTACAGAGAAACTAGCTACTTGTATTTCTAATACTTTTATTCCTCAAGGGGTCTCAAAAATATATTTATTGCTCTCACTTTTAAAAGGAATATAGTTGAGAGAAGGCATTCTCAAAATACTCCTATTGGGGGGAAGTTACCTAACTTCTGTTATTTATACCTAGAACTCCTTCCTTTTGTGGCTGATTTATTTTCTGTCCTTGGCTTATTGGCTGAACGTTGCTCAACCAAACACAAGTTTCACTGAAGGTTAAGCTGTGGATTTCAATCCCACTGAGTGCTTCGCAATGTTTCCATAAAGGCACCGCCTAGCAGTGCACGCTAATCTTCATGGGATGCTCTACTGGTCACTTTAAAACTAAACACACAACAGTACTTCCGTGAACAGAACTTCAGGTGTTTAACATGCCCTGATCAAGTTGGATATCGGGATCCTACAATAAGAGAACTTCCAGGAGCACTGCACCACCACGCAGCAGAGATTTAATTCACAGACGC